ATTGTGTTTCACGTTTCTTGGCATGTTTTCTTTCTTTTTTTGGTGGGTGGGGGTTTCAATTCTCAAGAAACAAAAGGTAAATGCACACACACCATCAAATTTCTTATGGGAACTTGAAACTTGAAAGCTCCTTACAAACCCCAGAAAGGAAAAGCATGCCAATATTTATTGTTTCTTCTTTTTTCAAGGGAAAGGGAAAGGGAAAGCAAACTATAATTATTTGCCCGAAACTGGTGATGAGCTGTCTGCCCCCACTCCTTTTGATGCTTCTTGCTGATGACCTCTCGCTACACACAATAAACAAATCAAACGAGTGGAAAATTCAAGCAAAGACACACACCTTGTAATTGCCTGAGCCATTCATTCACCTTCTGATGCTTCTTCCAATGGCTGCTTCGATGATCCTCCGTTCTGAAGCATCATCAAGGCATGCCTGTAATGAAAAATGGTGCAATGCAACAAGAAATTATTCGCGATCGTAAAAGAAGAGGAAGGGGGAGGGTTTAAAATCAGTGAAGGTACGGTGAGATATAGCGAGTGAAAACGAAGAACACAGAAGAATTAAAAAGATGCTCAACCCCAACCACCAAAAAGGGAAGGTTTAAATGCCAATGTCAGGTAAGCCTGACCCATTTTGAGCTTCACTGTCGCCTCTCCTTTATTTTCAACCACCAAATAATGTTCCCTTCCTATAATAATTCCACCCTCTTCTCTTCATATATTTCATACTCATATGTTATTGCATACTTTACAACTTTTTATTCAAATTTAAATTATTGGTCCAATTTGTAATAAACAAACAGAATATTACATTCACTTTTTTAAACATTATGCATACCCAAACAGTCCCTTGAAACTTTATTTAAAGGGACCTTGTGAGTTTAATTTTAATTTTAAATTGTTGTTCAAATAGAGCCAAGGCACGTGACCCTAAGCCGACCATATAATTTCAAAATCTCCCATCAACCTGCATCCTCCCAATGTTTAACCCTTCTCTAGAATATATGTTTTTTTAACTACTAGCTTTCCTCGTCTCCATGGTAAGTAGTTAAAAAGTTAATATCATTTATATTTACGTCTATCGTCTACCCACATAAAATTATAGGTTTTTGAGATCGCTCCGGTCGGGAGGACAAATAATATTTATAGTTAACGATATTTGATATGAATAACAAAAATGAATGTTCAAATTGGTGAGGTTTGGTTATTTATATCTTGGACATCTCGCTTGAAATGGTATGCATTATTTCGTATCTTTTTATCTTAATGATATATTTTTTTTAATGTCTGTTGAGGAAATAATTGTGATATCCCACCTTAGTTCAGAAGGAGAACGAAACACATCTTATAAGAATGTGGGAAGGATAATGAAACCTAAACCTTCCCATGGAAAAGATGGAAAGAGATAACTAAAAAGGACCTAAACTTAATGGGCTTTATACAGGCAGTGATGTTCAATGGGCTTAATGAGTTGGACTGAAGATGATAAGCCCAGCCCAACACACGGGCAGTCCGCGGGTGGTGGGGGAATTTTCAATAATATTGGATTTTTTTTTCCCGAAAAAATCACACTTATAAAATATCGGTATTAAATATGCTATTTAGCGTTATTTTTGTTTGGCATTCCACTTGTGGTCCCCTTTAGCTTCGGTTTCGTACTGTCTCATAATATTAATTACAGTCCCGACGGTCACCCCACTGCCAAAAAAGCAAATCACAGCATGCCACGTGGCTGATGTTAATGCAATTAGAAATGCAAGCTGATGTGTACAGTTTCATATACACGTGGCGGTCTACGTGTAAAAAAAGAGGTGGCAATTGAATTAGAAGATTTGGAGCAGGGGTCCTAATTAAAGCACTCTGTTTTGTAAATTATTGCTTCCTTTTTAGTTGCGACGCAAAGGAAATTGATTATGCCAACCAATACACGTCAAAGCGCATTGGATTGGGTGTCACGTTCAATATTGCATTATTCAATTATTCTAAATAATAATAGTTATTATTGTTATATTATAATGCACGTTAGATTAGATTATATTTAGAGATTATAATGAAAATGGGTTAAAAAATGACCTAAAAAGAATTATGCTTACGATGATGGGAAGAAGCAAGAAAGTAGGGTGCTAGGAGTGTCAAATCATGGAAGTTCGGAAATGAATGCTAAAATATTATGTTTAAGAAGAATTATGGGTTTAATCAAACATTTTTGTTTTTATAAAGAGAACAAAAGCTTTCAAATTCAATTTCGTTAAAACCCCAAATCATTGATTCATTGAAATTTTGTTTATAGATTTCGAAATTAGCCTACTAAGAAGTAGGTGAGCTTAAGTTTCTTCGTCTTCTTCTTCGTCCAAAGAAAAAAAGAAAAAAGAAAAAAAAAACCCCTAGAAGTAGGTAACCTTAAGTCCCGTTTTTTCAGGACAATATTCCCCAAAAAACAAAGAAAAGAAAAAATTTGATTGTTTTGTTGAGAGATATCTGGTAGATAATTGAGAAAGCACACATAATTAAAAAAAACTAAATAATTATGATTTACCTATTAATTTATTTGTTTTTATTGTCTATTTTAAAAAATATTTTTAAAGTTAAAAGTCAATAAAATGTTATATTATTTTTAAATTTTAACTAAAAATCCAAAATTGTTTTATTGTAAAAATTAAATTAAATGCAAATTATAAGGTGATTTAAGGTAAGGGGAAGTGATTAGAGCGTGGGTTAAAGAACCAATGTAAACTAAAAAACAACCGACTTGATAATAAAAAGAAATTCTAACTAAAATTTAACGTATTTCCATGTATAATAATTAAAAAAAGAAAAAAGAAAAAAGAAAAAAAAAGACACATTCTTCCGACAACATCCTGTCCATAGGAAGGACATTTAATAATATAAATACACAAATTCATTGAATTATTATTAGAAGTAGTAAATAATAAAATGTAATGAAACCATGATATTTAATTTAGTGGCGATAAATTGAATTTGGTTTGTTTATATGTAATGAATAAAAGGGAAGTAAAAAAGTGGGGAAGTGGAATAATAAGATAATAAATGTTCCATTAATTTGGGGTTCTTGTATTTATAACCCCTTTTTTTTTTTTCTTCACATATCATCATCAGCATACACAACACAAAATCTGTGGTACCCTTACTACATGCCCACAAACGACACAAAGCCGCAGGATCCGAATTTTGCGTCCTAAATATGAACCTCTGCCCATTATAAGACCCCACGCCCCACCAACTGAGTGCCACTGCTTTGCTCTTCTTCTTCTCTGACCGCCTCCATCCATTCCGATGGGGGAGGACTCAAAAGCCGAGGAGGCACCCAAAGAAGCACAGGCCATCCAACAACCATCCATTCAGGACATTGTGCTCACTGTTTTTATGCACTGCGAAGGCTGCGCGCGCAGGGTCCGCCGCTGCCTCAAGGGCTTCGATGGTTTGATTTTACTGTCACTAAATTTACTGAAGTTAGTAAAGATTAACGATTGGTTCTTTTTTGTGTTACTTTTTAGGGGTTGAAAATGTGGAGACGGATTGTGTAAATCAGAGAGTAGTGGTTAAAATGAAAGGGGAGAAGGCTGATCCGTTGAAGATTTTGGAGAGACTTGAGAGGAAAAGCCATAGACGTGTGGAATTGATCTCCCCAATCCTAGAACCTATCGACCACCCCAAAACAGAAGACAACAAACCACAGGTTCTCTTCCACTTCTACTCTTTATTTCTCACTCTATATTTTATATTTTATATTTAATTCGCAGCGTCAGGTTTCGACTGTCGTCTTGAAAGTTCACATGCACTGTGAGGCTTGTGCTCAAGAAATCAAAAGAAGGATAAAAAGGCTGAAAGGTTTAATTTTCCTTCTATAAATTACTTAATTTCACTTTTTTTTTTTTTTTTGTTTGTTTAATAATCTGAGTTGGATATTTGAATTGGTTAGGTGTTGAGTCGGTGGACCCGGATCTAAAAAGCTCGCAGGTCACGGTGAAAGGAGCCGTCGATCCGGCGGCGTTGGTTGAATATGTTCACCGGAGAACCGGCAAGCACGTGGCGATTGTGAAGCAAGAGCCGGAAATTACGCCGGGTAATAATGCTGAAGAAACTGTAGAAGAAGACGCAGAAGAGAAAAAAGGCGATGCCGGCGAGGGAGCCGAAAGTGAGAAAAAGGTGGATGAAGAAAGCAAAGTCGAGGAGAAAGCCGCAGGCGATCCGGCGGCGGAAGATGCTGTAAAGGTGGTGGAAGTGAAGAAGAATGAATATCATCACTTTAATAACCCGCAAAGGCACATAATGGAAATGTATTCGTATCCGCCGACGATGGCTTACCCGGCGGCGGATATGGCGGTGATCGGGCACGCAGATCCACCCCAGATGTTCAGCGACGAGAATCCAAATGGGTGTTCCGTGATGTGAAGTAAAATGAAGAAAATAGAATATTTTGAGACGACCAAAATAGAGGCCGTGGAATTCTCTGGATTTTGGTATCATATGTTATAGAGTAATGGGCGCTTATGTTATGAAGTTTCGTACTTTCTTTTAATTTGCTTTTTATGAACACCCAGTTCCTCCATGAAACGAAGGTATACCTTTTTTCTTTCTTTCTTTTCCAATTACTATATTCAGCTTCACCATTTAAAAAAAATTTATAAATATATTTCACCTAATATTTGAGGCTTTCATATATATAGAGAGAGATTAGATCTAAAAAATTTAAACTTAAGTAAAATCTAATAAATTCAAGTAAATTTTGTAGCTTATAAAATCTGAAACAAGTATTATATTTGTAACAAAATAACGTGGAGAAGTATATTGGCGGATATAATTGAGTTTTAATTCACGGCTATAATTTATTATTTTCCATAAAAAGATAAATAAAAAAAACCATGTTATTTATCTCAAAAGAAAAGAAAAGCCCTGTATTTTTGTCTAGAGAAATCTGATCGTACACGTGAATGATTAAGATTTAACTTCTGTAGGGGTATAAGAATCAAATAGTTGAATAAGGTAATAAAGGGGTTTAGCGCCACATTCGACTAGCAAGGCGTCGTCGCCCCATTCTAAATTGGCCAACTAAGAGGTTTTGGAAAACCCTAGCTGCCTTCTCCCTTCCCTGTTTCACCGGTCGCCTGCTTTCCCAATAGGACAGACTCTACGGCCTCCACTAATAGCTCCAATGGTCCATCTCTTTCCTTCTCCCTCCCGTTTTGCGTTCAATGGCGTACGTCAATGTCTGAATTGCATTTTGTTTGTCTTACAGCGGTTTTGATCTGGTAGCAACAAGCGAGAACAAGAAGATCGGGTGGTCCGCTCCTACTCCGACTAAATCTATCTCAAGCTCTTCGTCAAGGTAGGCATTTTAACAATCACTGTTTCTGCTGAACTAATAGCAGGAGCCAGCACTTGCATTTACAGTTTACAGTTTTCTTTTCTCCGAGAATCTAGTTGATTTGTGTTCGTTTGTTTATGACGAAATAATTAGTTAGTTCACTGGAGGCATCAACCCGAACTCCAGCTACTTGTTTTTTATTTTTTAAATTTTATCTAACATCTTGGAGACACAATTAGATCGGGTATGTTCTGCACCTGTTTTTAAAGGAAAAAAGAAATCATATATTTCCACACTCAAAATTTACTACTGTTCTCCTATGTCTTCCATTCCAGTTTTGGAACGAAAGTAAATTAATAAATGCGAGAATTGTCAATTTTAGTCTAGCGCTATGTTTCAAATATCCAACACCATCTCAACTCTTTGACAAGTGTTTGACATGAATCTAATACACTAATTAAATGTAGGGACGCATATTCAATGAGTATTGGGCTGTTCTTCGTGAACTGCACATAGATACACGACCCAAGCTAAAGTATCCATGGTTGATTGATTCTTACTTTGATTCCTTTTCGTAGTTTTTCGGCATATTGCAGCTGTAGTAGACAATTGATGCAACCAACTTTATTGAGCATAAACGTTGTTTTATATTGACACCAAGCTAGGAGCACTCTAGGAACGAGTTCTTTATTTTTATTACTGAATGCTTGTTTGTTACTCCGCCTTGGACTTCATGAATATTGGAGAAATGTGAAAATTGTGTGTCAAAATTTCATTCACTTGCTCTACCACATGGTCTCCATTGTTTATTTGTGTTGCTGCAATTAGAGAAAGATACGGAAGTGAAGAATGCCTACTTCCTGATATTCTCACGTCTTTTACTTGTTCTTTATCTCAGTTTGTACATTTTCTTTTGGTGAAAGTTTGTTTTCCTTATCTCTGGTTGTAACTAAGTGAATAATTTTTGGACTAAGTGGCGAGATTAATTCTGCAGATGAAAAGCAAAAAGTCGAAGACAGCTACAACTTCCGTCTCTATTGTTGATTTGAAGTCCATCATTCATCAGTATGCAATGTTCTTCGACAAGTTAGTGGAGCTCATCCCTGCAAGATTCTACTTACCTAATGACGAAAACGACAAACCTTGGTTTCAGGGCCTTAGCAACACTGAGAAGGCTTTGGCTAAGAAGGAATCAAAGGAAAATCTTAAGAAAGCTCGAAGAGATCGAATGGACCCTGAAAAGTCAGCTAGATCAACCCTTGATTTGCTGAAGCAAAACTTGGAAAAGAAAAAGTTAGAAGATGAAAGCGATGATAATGAAATGGATGTTAAGCCAGTAACGTCTGGGTTGGATGGTGATGTTCAATCAGTTACATATGAAGAGCTTCGACAACGTCTTCATCGAAAGATTGAAGAGTTCCGAGCAAATAGAAATACAGGATGTTCGAATAGGGAAAAGAAGAGGAATGAAAGAAATGAGAGGAGGGAACTTATTCAGAAGAAACGCAAGAGAGGACATGGTCCTGAGGAAAAGAAATTAGCAGGCCACCACTCAAGAGATGAAGTGGAGAAGAATGTAGATGAAGCCTCTAAAGAACTTGCATTTAGTCATGTCAAACTCGGGACTGAAGAAGAGCATGGGAAGAAAAAGAAGAGAAAGCTCTCCAAGTTGGAGGAGCTTGAAAGAGCTAAAAAATTAGACGAAGCAAAGAGAGATCCTGAGAAAGGCGAGATAATCTCAAAGAAGCATTCTTGGAAAGCAGCCACAAGTAGAGCTGCGGGGGCTAAGGTCCACGATGATCCAAAACTCCTGATGAAGAGCTTAAAGAAGGAAAAGAAACAGCAGCTGAAGAATGTCGAGAAATGGAAGGATAGGATTGAAACAACCCAGAAGATGAAAGCAGAAAGACAACAAAAGAGGTCAGAAAACATTTCACAGAAAATTCACGATAAGAAGATGCGGCGAATTGCAAAGAGGGAGAAGAAACTTGTGCGTCCTGGCTTTGAAGGTCGCAAAGAAGGTTTCATCAACGGAAGCACCCCATAAAGTGAAAGCAGGTTTTGTTTTACCTTTGAAATGCAGTTGCTGCCCTGTTTTTCCTTAGTAGCTTTAACATATTTGTGTTTCTTTCTCAGTGAAAACAATAGAGAATGAAAAACAATAAATTGTTTTAAACCACGTCTCTTGTTCTTCGCTTGAAGGAAAAAAAGAGCCATACAATGTCTTGAGTAATATTTGTCCCACCGTAAATGATAATCTTAAAATACTTTCGGAACTACTAAGCAAATAGAATTAAGGTATAGAAATTTGTTAGGTAAATAAATACACATTGAATGGAGGAGGCAAGGGAGCGTACACATTGAATGGAGGAGGCAAGGGAGCGTAGGGGTTGATAAGGACCCTAATCCCCAAGAACTTTAAATTAATTAACACCTCGTGTGAAATTCGGACAACCAATAGATAAAGCTAGAATTAGATTATCTCGATCGAAAGATGACACAGAGATAAAGCTAGAATTAGATTACCAGCTAGATTTGTAACTTTGTTCTAAAAATTGAGTCACTCCACAAGAATTGATTGAAACATAAAAATGGCAAATATGATGCTCGGATTTCTAAGAGAAACGTCTTTTAATTTGAGATCTGAATTACATTCATCAACGAATCTGTTTTTTACCTAACATATTTCCGACAGAAGACGTTTGTGGTCCGAATTCAATCCCAATATGTTTGTGGCCGGGATTTATTCCCGATCCCCTTTAATCTACACAAAGAATAAGTCAAATTTACATAATTTATGAAATTAAACATAGATTTTTTCTAACAAATGTTATGTGCTTGAGTGGTTAATGCTACGGACTTGAAATTAATTGAGCTAATTGTGTTGTTGTTGACATATTTTTTTGAATCTTTTTTGCAATTGGTCCATTTTGAAGAAGGATTCTTTCTAATCAGAAAAAATTGTTACCTCCTTGGCGATTGGTCCATTTTCAGAAGGATTAGTCTCTAATCAGAAAAAATTATCACCTCCTTTTGAAAGTGTCCACGTGATTCTTATCATCTTCCCCCTCTTCAAAAGGATTCGTCTCTAATCATAAAAGATCATCATCTTCTTTTAGTCACCTCTTTTTGAAATTGTCCATTTGGAACACCGTGATTCTTATCAAAAGTAAGTCCGAAACATATAAAATGTTGTTAATCCTGAACAGGCTATTATTGCGAAATTCGGTGAATACAACCAACTATCATTAAGAATTTCATCTTTGGACCAAAAACAGGCAAGGGGTGAAATACCACAAAGAGAAAGGGTACCTAATAAAAAAGCGTTTTTTGTAATTGGCACATGCTTTGTTAAACTCCATAAGAACCATATTCTGACTTCGATCAATTGGTGTTACGACATAGCAGTGGATAAGTTCACCGACCAGGACCAGCGGGAAAAGAAGGAACACGTGAATTAAGATGGGGTAATCAAAGTTTTAAGTTTTAACTGAACAATAATATTTCAACGAATTGGTGCTAAATTCAAAGACGCGAGGAAGGAAGAATTATTCGACGATGAGCAGTGGTTGGCTTACTGGATCATCTATTCCTTTCTCACTCTCATGGAGATGGTTGTTCTGCAACCTTTGTTAGAGTGGTCAGTGGAAATTCTAGATTCCCCCCTTTTTGTTTTGAATAACATGGTTTTAATTCGTGGCTGAAAGAACAGTGACAGCTTCATTATTTGCGTTGCAGGATAGCAGTTTGGTATTGGGTGAAATTGGTATTTGGGGCATGGCCGGTTCTGCCACAGCTCAAAGGTGCAGCTTTCTTGTATGAAAGATTCGTGAGGCAGCAGATTAAGAAACATGGTTTGGGAAGCAATTCTCCTGATGCGTTGATTCACTAACTGGTACACATGTCTCTTGTTTTCGTATGGTGTGCGAAAATAATTGGTATTGGCTTTGTATATAGACAGTTTAAAGAATTTCAATTCATCCAAAACTGTGTATAAGTTGCACATCTTTTCATTTTAGTATTACTGCGAAGTAAGAGAGTTTATATGACGGTCTCTGCCTAACCCCACATTTCTCCTACTTTCTGTACCTATTAGCCTCTCTTCTTCCCGCTTACCCTTTCTCATTGTCAATCCACAATGTGGTAAGGGCGACCACATAAATATATAAATGATTACCTTAAAAAATGACTCACCTTAGTAAGTTTTGCAATTATACCTAAAACTCGAGGATTATCTATAAAGAAAAAATGACTAACCATCTCATCTGGCTCGATTTTATCTCTTCTCTAAGTCAAGGTCATTCATGTGCACCCTCATATCTTAACTCATCATCTTGGATCTGAACAACACCCCGCCTATTATGATATCATCAACCATCGTAGCTCGCTTGGACATATCTATTGAGAACCGTCTCATGAGGCGACTATGTCAATGGGACATTCCGAACATTCATCTATATGGGTTATATCAAGGCATGAACCCTTCCATGTCCATGTTGAGTCGTTTATGGGTATTAGATATCGAGTGCATATATCAACCTTCGACACATACGCTGAAGTACAATGCTGATGATGTACTTATGTCGTCCATCACTGTTTTTTAAAAACTCGTTTCAAAAGAAGACGTCTAATGCACTCATCTTACAACGCTTGTCCGCGCTGTGACAAACATGTGTGTCCACACAAGATAGCTTGCTTAGGGCCATAGAGCATAGGGGTGGTGGAGAACTGCTTTCGTACCTCCCCCCTATAGATTTATGAGGCACATTTGGTACATGAGTTATAGACATGATATTGGCGAAGAGTCATATGGTCTCGTGGAGCGTCCATTAAGAGTATGATAAACACAAAATTTTGCTAGCATTTATATTTCATATAGACCGGCTTGACTCATACCAAAACTCCAACTTTCGAGTTTAAGATTTTGGGCCTTATTCGACCTTTATCAAGTTTGTCTTTGATATTGACATCATTATCTCTATCTTGTTTAGCTTCAATGCACACTTTCTATGGGTGTTGGATAATTTATCGTCCTCCTCAGTCGCATCACGATATTCATCTTGTCTCGGGCCTTGCATGGCCAGTTGGGCGCGACTTTCGTGTCACCACTTTGTATTGTCTGCACGTGAAGTCACAACCTCCTATCTTCACAACATGATTGTGACATTCTCTCCCACTTGAATTAGTCATGGTAGATTGTGACACATTGCTATCCTAGTTTCACACTCGATCCTTGGTGGTAGTAATTTAAAAAAAAAAAAGGGTAAAAATTGATGGGTTAGTTAACTTTTAGTGTAGGTAATATTCATAACTACATTTGGAATGGCATGCATTTAAGTTTAAATTAATTAAACTAAGATATATGTGTGAGTGTGTGTACAACCTTACGTGCACCAAAATTATAAATTATTTGTAAGCGCGAGCGATTGACGTTAAAGAATGGAAGAACACTGATTGTGATGCACCGACATTAAAGAGAGAGAGAGAGAGAGAGAGAGAGGATAGCCCGCTAAAATTTTCAGTTTTGGGTTGTAAATTTCTAAAACCCCGCTTCTTCTCCCCGCCCTACTCACATTTCATTTCCCACTCCGAACAACTAACTCCATTCCCCCGACCCGATCCCATCTCCGTCTCTCTCTCTCTTTTTCTTTCTACGCCTTCTCACTCCAAAATCCCTCTCTTTCCTTCTAGGGTTTCTCCCCAGTTCCCAATCCCAACTCTTTCCCCACTTTCTGCTTCTCTACTTCTCTCTTCCACTAATTCTCAGGTTTTCTCTTCTTTCCAACTTCCATGGCGTCTCAATACCTACACCATAACAAACCAGAGGATGAAGCTCCTCCTGTCCAGGGGAAACAGCATGACACTGACCAACCCGAAGACCCGGAAAAAGAAGACACTGACGTGGCTGTCATAGAAGAAGCTTCTACTGTGGAGGGCCGTCCTGAAGAGCTAAATGGTGCTGCTAAGCCCGAGGAGATTAACGAGCAGAAGGGCGACCCGGAAATTCTTGAATCAGCTGTGGAACAGGGCACTGCTGCTAATGACAATTCCGAAGATAAGACTGTCGACAAGAAAGGCGAAGTCAGCGCAGAGGAGGAAGACAACGAGGTTGAAACTGAAGGCGAAGGCGAACACGAACACGAAGGAAGTGAGGAACCCCAGACAGATACGAAGAAGGATAAAAGAACGTCTGCCAAGTCCAGGAAGAAATCTGCCGAGAAGATAGGGTTAAAACACCCTGTCACGCCGACAATTGAGAGGCCAGCCAGAGAAAGAAAGATAGTAGAGCGTTATTCCGCGCCCTCCCCAGGCAGACTGGGGAGGTCTTCTGCAAGCAAAGTTCTCTCAATTGAGAAGGTATGATGGTGTTCATTGTATGTTTTCTTGACGTCTGGGGCGCCTTTTTCTTTTCTTTTCTTTTCTTAAATTGCGCTTCTTGTGTCTCAGGGCCGCGGCTCTAGCCTCAAGGATATTCCAAATGGTATGTCTTGATTGTCATGTCATACTTTCCATCTCAATTCAGATAAATGCTTGCTGTTCTTTAGTAGTTGACGTGGGCTAGTTTTGTCTCCTGCCACTCTTATATTTATCATTGTTTCAACTATGGCGTCTTCTTCTAGTCCTTGTCGTGGCCGTTGTTTTTGCAGAATTCTTATTTTTTTTTACCTTTAACTCACGTGATCTGTTAATCTGCTCGATCAGTCGAGTGCAGACTGACATTTTCTATTATATTTAACACCATCTCTTACTTTTACTTTATTTTTGGTACTGATATATTTCTTCTTCATCTCACCATTGGATTGTCGTTCCATCTGTTGTTTAACTTCCTCCAGTGCAGCTTCTTTTAATGGTCTTCACTGCATTATTGCCCCATGTCTCCATTTTTTTTATCTGACATCCTTGTGTTTGGTTTTCAAGTGCAATACAACTCAATCTGGGCAGTTATATCATAGACTCTAGAAATCCTTGAATGATTATGCTTGTTAAGGGGGAAATTGTCTGTAGATGTGAAAGGACTTTAGAAATTTGAAACTGTTACGATAAGCCAGCGTAGGTTGGTCAAATGTTCCAATTCAATTGGTTTGGAGACCACTAGTAAACGTCTTAGAAGTATTCATGCATGTGTTGACTGAGTGTTTGCGTGTTTTTATATAGTTCAAAACATTTTTTTAGCTTGTATGCTAAAATGGTGTAGTGGTTCATCAGTCTTATCGTGTCCGAGTCTGACCTTGTGAGAATCTGCCTTGCCTCGAGAAAATTGCACAGTGCTGGACTTCAAAACTAATGCTGTCTGGAATTTCTCTTGTAATCCTACTGTGGTCTTTTGAATGTACTTATCCTTTGTAGCTAACAATGAAAACTATTTTAGTGGCTTTCAAACTGTCAAAGAGAAAAGCTGATGACAATCTGCAGCTACTACATACAATTCTGTTTGGAAAGAAAGCAAAGGTGATAAAAATATATATATTTTTTCTTTGCAGCTATTTTGTTGTTGTAATGTTTCATTTTTAATTATCCATTCTATCTTTACTTCGTTAGTGTTTTGTAGTAAATTTTTTATGCATATTGGAATGCCTATTTTATGCAGGCTCAAACCTTGAAGAGGAATATAAGCCAGTTTTCAGGTTATGTTTGGATTGATAATGAGGTATTTCATTATCTACCTTTTACTGTCTTTCTTATAAGGAGACTTGAATGATTGCATAATGTGTTTCAAATATGTGTTGTAATATGACCTCAATTGAAAATGTAGTATTCATTTCTCATTTTGCAGCTGTATACGTATTTTTGGTTCATGTGTTCATGTGTTGTTGACAGGAAAAACATAGGTCAAGGGTAAAGGAGAAGCTTGAGAAGTGCGTCAAAGAAAAATTGGTGGATTTTTGTGATGTACTAAATATCCCAATAAACAAAACCACTGTAAAGAAGGCAAGAATTAGAGCCAAAATCTTTACTATAGCATGTGTTGAAACTTTTTGTTCTGTCTCAAATTTTTCTGGTCTTATGTCTTCAGGAGGAACTCTCAGCAAAGTTATTAGAATTTTTGGAGTCCCCACATGCTACAACTGATGTTTTGCTGGCTGACAAGGAGCAGGTTTTATTTAATCATTGTTTTTTGTCCAACGTCAATTATTAGACTGTTAAAAGCTTGATGTCTGTCTGTATTTCAGAAAGGCAGAAAGCGACGGAGGGCCAGTTCAGGAAGGGTCGTTGGCTCTGGAGATTCCGCAGAAGTACCTGCTAAGGTATTCATTCTTTAGTATTTAATGGTTTTATTTGTACACTCATTTATGGCATTAAAATTTTCCATTTCTTCGGATTTGATGCCTTGAAATTTCCAAATCGTTCAATTGTTACATTGAACTTTTGAATACCTGGCATGTGTTGGGGGTTCAGCATACAAATGTCCAAAAGTGATTAGTTGGTTCTGTAATGTTCTGATTCAAATTCCCAACTTTGTTGACATCGTTTTCTTTTGTGAGATCTGCTATTTAACATGCGATTATATATTACTACATGTAAGAGAGGAAGAAACTCTAGCAGATTTGCAATTAGTTAACGGGCAACGGCTGGTAACCCATTTGTGAATAAAAAGATGTAAAATTTTCCAGAGGAACATGTAAATTGTACAATGAAATGAAGGTAAAACTTCGCTGGTATAGAACATTGAAATATCAACTGCACACGTAGGGGAATAATGGGATTGTTTGCTAAAATAGATGTGTGCATTGTTTAGTATAGAGGGTTAAGGCTCTTTACCATTTTTATGTTTTTGGGAATTTACCAGTTTGTGTCTAACCTTTGTCTTGCTGTTAGTTGACAAATTATTACTTATTTTCCCACTAGAAACAAAACTCACAGCCTACAAAGAAGAGAAAACAGTCGCCTGTTGCTGAGGAGGAAGAGGATGATAGAGTTGAAACTTCAAATGAGAAGGACGATTCTCTCGATAAGGATGGCAATAATGATGATGATGTGACTGCATGGAAAGAAGAGAATATCGAACAAGATAGATCAGACGAGGATGACAAGACACCAGAGCCAATGCC